TTTTGCTGGAACCGTAGTTAATTTTTGCTGGATCCAGGGAATTATTTTGCTTCAAGCGATTTTACTGGTTTTCTAGTTGCTCGGGTCGTTTTGCTGGAAGAACTGTATTTTTTTGCTGGAACCAGTTTTTGCTTTTGTTGCAAGTGACCACCGGAGTTCTTTTTGACTGAGATGTGTTTTTTCGCAAGAATCCGGTGGTGCAGGTCGACCACGACGGCGAGCTAGGGGCGGCGATGTCGTGCTATGTTGAGCGACGCGAATTACTGACCCGCGTTTGACAGAGCTGCATCCGGCAAGGGATGATGCTGGAACCACAGCGAGATGAGGAGGACGTGCGATGACGGCGGATTCGAGCAACGGAGAGAGGCGGCGAGCAGTGGAGATCCGGCGGGTCATGTCACTCGTCCATTGCGCTCGTACCCCAGAGGCCGAAGCGTGCTTCCGTGATTTGTAGGGGAAAAAAAGGAAACTGCATGATAGGGATGAAAGAGTCCATGGCTAAAAAGTGTTTAATCTGATGTACATGGTACGACCGGCCCAAATTTTGGGCCGGTGTGCCGGCGCCTAGCGCTCGCCATCGTGAAAGACATACATCCAGCACTCTGGATAGGCATTAACACTCAAGTGTTCTTTTGCATGGAACGTCTCACTAAAATTGCCAATGCAAAACCAAACACTATGCCTAATAGCATGCAAAGTACGCAAGAATCACCAACTGTGGTGCCTATTCTCAGCTCTCAGTTTGCCATAAAAAACGGTGAAGCCGGTTGTGAGTTTTTTTTACTTCTAACAGTAACATCAATAAATAAGCCGAGCCAAAATCTGAAGTTTAACATCCACTTGATTAGACCAGAACAAACCATCACCACCACTAAGTCCATCTCTATCGGCGGGCAAACTACCAATCAAACCTAGAGCGGTCTGCAAATGTTCGGCTCTTTTACCCCCAATTTTTGTTTCCATAACGAACAATAGGAGGCCCCTCCTTGCTTCACAATCTCGAGAATCTCTCGAACTGTCTCGGGGTTCTCAAGCCCCTGTCAGTTCCAATTGATGAAGCTCATTGGGATGGGCAAGGGCTGCCACTGTAGAATTATCAGAACTAGGTGGAGTGGCATCTTTTCTCATAATCCCTCTCATCCTCTAGTTCATCGCCTTCATCACCATCCTTCTCAGTAGCCGACTCACCATTGAGCTCCATCAAATCTGCACTAATGTCCTGATGAGTTTGCTAAGTTAGAAGTGGCATCTCTACCTTGCGATAAACTTGTTTTTGTTGCAGCCCCCTTTACGTTTATTTTGATACGCCGGTTTCAGAGGGGATGTAACTTCACAATTTTTGCTAGTTTGCGAGTTCGAAGAATTGGCTTCTTTCCTGCTATATTGAGAGTCATGCTGATCCTTTGAAGAGTTCTCACCAAAACCCGACTTGCACCTTTCATCGATTGCCCTCAGGCTATGTTTAAGGGAAAAGATAATTGGGAATGTTCCCGGGAGGCCTTTTTCAGGGAACAGCCCCAAAGTCGTCTGATCACGATCAAACGAGCGACAATTTTTCAGTGAAACGTAGCAACTTTTCTACTTTGTAAACACGCTACATGACAATTTTCGCCTCCGAACATGGCAATCCTTACAAAATTACCACGACAACCTAGTTGATTTGGCATGGCAAGTTTGGCGTTCGTTGGAAAAAATGCTCCCAGGGAACGTTCCCCAGATATTGCGGTCCATATTTAAACGACCAGTTGCCTTCCTCATCCTTCATGCCGGAGTCGGTCAGAGAAGATCTGAGTGGCCTAAGCGACTAGATGAAAAGCAAAAGTGAGACATTTGTTCATATTGGATATCCTACCAATCATTATGGTTCCTTCTTGCCGAATCAATCACAAACCCACCTTCTCAAGGGTTTCTTTACATCAGTGGTGACATGAACCCTTAGAAAACCTCCCACAGGTCAATTTGCAAAGGAGTTGCATGCTTGTCGATCTACACCAAGCCCATGTATCATTTCTCAGATTATATGGAAGATTAACAACTTTGCTCCATACCCGCAGCCTATCAAAAGCGAGTCCCGATGGCTGCGTACATTCCTCAAACCCCTTCAAAATCACTGCATGTTTACCGACATGCCACGATGAGCCTTCCCAGACACAATCTTGATCCCGCTGAGATTCAAATTCAGCCTATAACATGTTCTCCTCAAGCAGACGAAATACCAGACCACAATGATTTCCCCATGCTAACGAAGGGCGCTAGATATCGTCTGATACTATGAAACAAGTTGTGATAAAGAATCATTCCTGCTAGTAGCCACTTCGGTTTTGAACACTCAAAAGAATCGTCAAGTACTAGAGGAACCGCTTCTTCCTCCGTGATATCAAGTTTTCCAATGGCTTCCTCCATCTGACGACGAACCGAGCCGAGCGACTACACGCCGGCGTTCACCTTTCTGCTGCTATTAGTCACTATTGCCATCTCCCGCCGCAACAAAATCCGGTGCGCCCTGCCGAAGATCAACTAGCGCCGCCAATATCCACTCGAGCCCTAATCGCCGGAGAGGGTATTGGGTCCGGGGAAAAGTTTCTAACATGAGCGTATTTTCAGCCGCCCCAAACCTGTATTTTCAAGATCTAGCATATGACTCGTTGCACAACAGACAAGGCGTCCAATTACAGCCAATACAAGTATGAACTAGCTGAACCTGAACAAACAACATGAAAAAGGTCAAATGAAGCAAATTTAGTTCCAGCATCGATCACCCATCAGCATTCATTCAGCAATGGTGTTCCTGGGATCCATCTCGGTCATGCACGCGTAGCCCTGCAGCTTCTCGTTGAAGAGCACGAGGGGATCCTTGTCCCTGAGCACGCCGTCGTCGTCGTACGCGTCCCGGAGGAACACGGCCCAGTTCATCTCCGTGCCGGCGAGGTAGAAGGCGCGGGTCTGCTTCCGCAGCGACTGGTACATGTGCCGCGTGAGCCCGAGCTCCTCCTTGAACTCGAACACGTGGTGTATCAGCGCGCGCTTCTCCAGCGTCAGGCTCAGGAACTCGTGCACCACCCCGACGCGGTACTTCTCGGCCTCCGGCGTCCACGGCCGCAGCAGCGCGCCGTTGGTGTACGGCGAGACCAGCGGGAACGTGGTCGCCGCGTCCAGGCGCTCCGCCTCCTCCCCGTCCAGCGGCATCGACCGGCTGTGCGGGACGGAGAAGCGGAACGTGCGCCGGACGCGGCGCTCGTCCACCATGAAGTCGTGCTCCAGGGCGCTGACGGCGAGCGCGGGGTCCCAGCGCGCCAGCTCGAGGACGTGGAGCCCGTCGGGGTCCACGGCGACGCGGAAGTCGTCCGGGAAGTCGCGGACGCGGTCCCGGAAGTCGTCGGGGAGGCCGAGCACCGCGCGGCAGTGGTGGAGCTTCGCGAGGGGCAGGCGGCGGTGGGCGGTGAGCATGAGGAGCTTCCGGACGGCCAGCACCCGCGCGGGGAGGAGCTCCTCGTGGACGCGGCGCTCCTCCTCGAGGAGCGAGCACATGAGCGGCGTGAAAGCGAGGTGCGGGACGGAGCCCACGGTGGTGCGGTGGAAGAGCAGCGGGTGCCGGGCGGCGGCGCGCGAGACGCTGCGGCCGCGGGGGAAGCCGAGCTCGCGGTACAGCTTGCCGGCCTCGGCGAGG